CATACTAGCAGGTCTACATTGTAAACATAGACATATTATCCTATTATCACTGACAGCACTATATTTCTAGATGGTCCTGAGGTGTTCTTTTTGATAATTAATTCAGTCTGTTCCTCTTTATCATTCCTGGTATAAGAGACCATATGATTGATTTTAAATGGCAACTCCCTTTTCATTTCAGTTCCCTAATGCCCAGTATATCTACCTTAAAGTGTTCCATTTAATTTTCAACGACTTCTAATTTTCCTAGATTTGTACTTTGCATATTCCATGTCCTGATTATTAATGATATTTTAGACTAGTTCTTTTCATCTTGAGTTATAAGACATCAGCAAGTGGAAGTCCTGAAGGCTTTACTCCATCCACATCATTAAGGCCAACTCTGTTTTGAGGAAGCAGCTCTTTCCCTGTTGCATTTTTGCCATCTTCAAATATGGGAGGCTTATCTCCCAGTACTACGTCAGATGCTGTTCTGCTGCTATTCATAAAATTTTAGTGGTCATTTTTTTTAAGAAAAGAAGTTGATTGCCAGATTCTTCCTAGTCTGTTTTAGTCTTGAAGCTCTGTTGAAACATAGCAGCTATGATGCCTTGCTGATAATAAAAATGCCAGTTGTATAATATCCAACATCACAGCAACATAGAAATCATCACATTGTAACAAACTGACAGAAGAGTTGTAGACTCAGTTTACAAGAGACTTCAATTCAGATCCAGCTCTCTACAGTCTCAACAATTATGTCTCACTGACTCTCTGGGTAGATAAAAAAGCTCTTTATATGACTTAGGTTAATGCTTGTTAAACAGGAGTAAAATTAGTATATCTATTTATAAAATACCTTAGGAATTTTCTAATTTAAATGCCTCTAACTCACTTTATAATAAAAGAAAATAATTCAAATTCAATGCCTCTAACCCACTTTATAAGAAAATAACTCAAATTTATTCTGTGTAACCGAAAAATTTCAAGTAGTGCTTTTCTAAGCTAGAATTACTTATTTTCATTAAATTTACAAATTGGTCAAATAGGTCAACTATACCACTCTTTAAGTTAAAATTTGTTAAGGGTTTCTAAGTAATGGATGGTAACAGCTTTCAAATGGAACTCTCTCAGAATTTATCTATAGTGTCATTTGGAGAAATATAACCAGTACGATGATAGTTCCTACTCCAGAAATCTACATAAACAAATTGTATATTGTTTACAATATAGTATAAGTTATTGAATATTAGAATATTAATCTCAGGCAACTAGATAAGCACGTAACAACAACAGTAAAGTATGTTATAAAAGGTATAAACAGAAAGTTCAGATCTATTTAATTAAATATTGCTGGAAAAAACTTTTAGTTATTCTTTTGAATTCTTGTAGCGCAAGGGGAGCTCCGGGGAATGTAGTCTGCAGTGAGTTCCTCTGCTAACTCAATGACCATGCTTCACCAGTGGGTAGACTCTGCAGGGGAGGGAGATGGGCAGTCGCCTTCATTTACGTTGATGGAGAATTGCTGTTGAGTCTGAACTGACTTGTCAGCTGTGAGTCTGAGTTAGAGAAAAAAGTAGACTCTAAATGTCAGATCATTAGGATGGATGCATAAATAAGACAGGGTTCTCATCCTCAAAGAATCTGAAGTTCATCAAAGGAGCTACATAAGAAAACAGTTGCAAAAAAAAAAAAACAGTTGCAGTTTTATGTATAATGTGCTATGGTAACAGAAAGTGTAGGCTTCTATGGAATCGCATAAAAGAGACATCTAGTATAAGAATTGGGTGGAGTCATTACTTTTCGTAATATATATCCCCAAGCACTTAACATAATGAACAACTTACAGTAGACATTCAAATATTTGGTGAATCAGAAAATATCTGACTGAAAGAACTGAGAGAAAGAGATGAGAATGGAATATGGACTTGAGCTCAATTTTTTTCTTGGAATAGAATCTTTAAACGTTTGTATCAGATTATTTTATGAGTGCTCTTCATGTTGCTATCATAATTTCAGTTGTTTTTATGTACCATGAAGTTGAAACCAACTCCTAGCTCAGCCCCCAGTGGGTTTTCAGAGACAGCAAATCATGGAGGAGATTGCCCATCTTTCTCCTATGAAACAACTGGTGGATTCAAACTGCATGCCTTTGTGTTGGCAAAGCAACTCCTTACTGCTAACTACCAGAGCTCCCTGTGTAATTTCAAAGGCTGAGTACATCAATCAGTATCTTCATCTAAGCTACAGTAGATCACAAAGATGGCAAGTTGCCCTTCAGGAAGAGTTGTGTCCTGCAGTACTAGATACATTGTTGTAGTTGTTGATTGCCGATGAGTTGAGCACAGGTCATAGTGACTTTGTGAACAAAAGACTTGAAGTCTTTCGGTAACTATCATCTTTTATTGAAGTTTTACTTGGAACAGAATCTTTAAACATAGTATCAAATTATTTTTATGAATGCTTATCATATGTTGTTGTTGTTGTTGTTATGTTCCGTCGAGTCACTTGTGACTCATAGTGACCCTATGTACAACAGCCCTAAACTCTGCTCTGTCCCGTGCCAATCTCATTGCCTCTGACACACTCATCCCGATTGCCCCAGTCACCGAATCCATCCATCTCCCAGAGGGCCGTCCCCTCCTGCACCTGCCCTCCACCCTCCCAAGCATGATGTCCCTCTCCAAGGACCGGTCTCTCCTTACAACATGACCAAAGTATGTCAGACGAAGCCTCAGAATCCTTGCCTCCAAGGAGCAGCCCGGTTTAACCCTTTCCAGGATGAATCTGTTTGTTCTCTTAGCAGTCCATGGCACCCTCAGCACTCTTCTCCAACACCAAACTCAAAAGCATCAATTCTCCTTCTGTCCTCCCAGGTCATTCATTGTCCAGCTCTCTAATGCATAACAAGTGATGGCAAAGACCATGGCCTATACCAGACACACCTTTGTCTCCAGAGACACACCATTGCTCTTGAGTACTTTAGAGAGGTCCCTAACAGCAGACTTTCCCATGGCAATACGACTTTTAATTTCCTGGCTGCTGGTGCCAAGAGTGTTGATTGTGGAGCCAAGAAAACTAAAGTTGTGAACAATCTCAGTCTCTTCACCATCCATTCTGATGCTGCCAATTGGTCCAGTGGTGAGAATCTTTGTCTTCTTGACATTGAGCCTCAATCCATATTGAAGGCTGCAGTCCCTGACCCTCAGCAGCAAGCGCTTCAGGTCCTCCTCACTTTCAGCAAGCAGGGTTGTGTCATCTGCATAACGCAGATTGTTTATGGATCTTCCACCAATCCTGATGCCACATTTCTCCTCAGAGAGTCCAGCCTCCCAGATGATCTGTTCTGCATACAGGTTGAAAAGATGTGGAGACAGGATACATCCTTGGCGTACACCCTTCCCAGTTTTGAACCATGCAGTGTTTCCTTGCTCTGTTCTGACGACTGCCTCTTGGTTCAAGTATAAGTTTCGCATTAGCATGATCAGGTGTTTCTGGGATTCCCATTCTTCTCAGAGTCAGCCACAGTTTGTTATCCATACAGTCAAACACCTTTGCATAATCAATGAAGCACAGATAGACATTCCTCTGGTACTCCCTGCTTTCTACCAAGATCCATCTAACATTAACTACAATATCCTAGTACCAAGACCCCTTCTAAACCCAGCCTGGACTTCTGGCAATTCTCTGCTGTTGTGCTGTTCCAGTTGTTTTTGGATAATCTTCAGCAGAATCTTGCTTGCATGTGAAATCAATGATATTGTTTTGTCGTTTCCACACTCTGTTGGGTCACCTTTTTTTGGAATGGGAACAAATACAGATCTTTTCCAGTCAGTCGGCCAAGTGGTTGTTCTCCAGATTTCTTAACACAACTTGGTGAGCACATCCAGGGCAGCATAACTACCATAATTTCAGTTGTTGTAGTTTTTATGTACCATGAAGTTGAAACTGACTCATGGCTGACCCTCCAGTAGGTTTTCAGAGACAGTAGATCATGGAGGAGATGGTGGAAACCACATGCCTTGGGGTTTCCAGAGGCATGTTGTTTAGGAAGTGGATGCCACTCCTGCTTCCAAACATTATAAATATTCAAAAATAGCAATTACTTGATCTTTAAAGCTTCCGAATTTGCTCAATAATTTCTCTACCCTTTCTCAAACCAGACTCCTTACATGAATTTGTTATTTTTTTAGAATCAATTGTGAATAATAAGAACATGAATAATAAAATTTTAGAGCACTAACACTGTGTTAACCACACAGAATGTGAACCGTTGAAGGAAAACCAACCTGTTACAAACCCAAAGAAGTCATCTACAGGCCTTGTATGGAATGCTAAAGATGTAAAGTTTATATATGCTTGGAGTTATAACTAATCTGAAGAGAATTACAGGCCAAGACAATTCTGTCGTAGTAACTATTGATATAAATTCATTGCTTGAGTAAACAAAAAATTGGGTTCCAACTTTATGATGCTCTCTGCACTAGTATGAGAGATTAAGATTTATAGTTTGAGGAATGAGGTAGGAAAATACAATCATGGTACCTTGTGATTAAGTGTTGGAATACAGATACCAAGTATTGTGAATGAGCAGAAAGCTAAAGCAACTAACATGCAGAGGAGGAAAATAGATTTATATGGATGGGGTTAGCATACTGGCTTCATTAAAAACAAACAACAATGTTATATCATTTATTGTGACTGTGCCCTATTCTTTATCTGATATTTTTTAAGAACTTGTATATTTTACTGTTTTGTGAAATGATAATAACCTCCAAAAGCTATTTATAAATTGTATATTGAATATATATATCAGTTGATCCAGGTGGATTTAATTCAGTGAGCAAATCATGTATCTGCTTGATCCACTAGTCATAATGGTCTACAAATCTAAAGGAAAGGAATTACAATAATATATTACAAAATTCATACTTACATATTATAATAAATTATAGAATTATCCTTACATATTATTTTTTGTTATTTTGACTCTCCTTTTTTATTTGTTATTCCTTATTAAGGGTCAACTATATTTGTTGGTAACAGACCAGGGATTTCTTACTGAAGAAAAAGTTGTTTGGGAAAGCCTGCACAATGTAGATGGGGATGGAAATTTCTGTGACTCAGAATTTCATCTGAGGCCTCCTTCAGATCCTGAAACTGTGTACAGAGGACAGCAAGATCAGATAGATCAGGTAAATGTTCCATCATCTTCCTATCATTTAAAATACTCATTCCTTTCAAACTTAACATTACAGTAAAAAACAAACAAATGAAAACAAACCCCACACACATACTCTTAGGATGTTCCTCCAATTTTCATGTGTACTATTCACTTGCTGATACTGCTGTATGGGTGAGTGATTTTCTATGTGAACATTAATTACATACTTTTGTTCAGAAGGTCAGATTATATTGAAGTGTGAATATCATGGTAAGAGTATTGCATCTCATTCTTATTACAGCAGCAAAGCCATGCCAAGTGTTCAGCACAAAAGTGACGGCCTCCCACCCCCGCCATCCCCCCCACTCCCACCTCCGCTGCAAGCCCCTCAGAACAACAATCAACCACAACGACCACAGGTTTAGACTACAAGCAGGACAGGCCACTGACAAGGAAGGAGAGTTTGCTGCTGCAATATTAGCAACTGCAATATTAGCTGGAATATTAGCCAATTAAAGGCAGTAAACTTTCTCAGAAGTCATCCAGCAGCCAACTGTCTTGTTCTTCATTAAAGATGTTAAAAAGCCTAAAAGCGTGCAGTGCTTCTGGATGCTTCAGAATATACCTGTGATGTGGAGAAACGTGCCAGTGGTCAAGTGCTGTTTGATGAAGTGTGTGAATACCTGAACCTGCTCAAGGAGGACTGCTTTGGGCTTACATATCAAGATGCTGGAAATCAAAAGAATTAGCTGGACCCTTTTAAGGAAATAAAAAAAAAAAACCCCAAATTTGAAGTGGTGCTTGGCACTTTTCTTTAAGTGTGACATTTTACCCTCCACACCCAGCCCAGCTCTCCAAAGATACCACAGATACGACCTCTGTCTGCACTTGCTGAGGACATCATGTTAGCAGGCTGCCTGCTTGCTCATGACCCTGGCTCTGCTGGGCTATTACAAGGTGCAGTTCAAGCTGGGTGACTGTGACCCCAACGAATGCAGGAACGGTTATTTCTGCAAATTCTACCTGGCAGCAGACCACACAAGAGAACTGGAAGACAAAATGATTGAACTACACAAGAGCCCCAGAGGAGTGGCACCAGCTGAAGCAGAGATGATTTTCTTGGAAAATGCCAAAAAGCTATCCATGAATGTGGTTGATTTACATCGTAATTCAGAAGGAGTAGAAATTAGGAATTTGTGACAGACTTCAAATAAACAGGTTTGTCTCACCCAGAGTTCTAACAATTACATACAAATGGAACAACTTTTTTATTAAGATCAGACCAGGAGACTTTGAACAGTTTGAAAGCATGATTGGGTATGAACTGCCTAACCATCAAGTTGTCAAGTGTTGATGGGAAAACTTTGTTGAGCATCATACCTTTTTCAGATTATTATTAGAAGCACCGCTGAAGAAATTCCGAGCCTTGGGTCCAGGTTTCATTACCGAGACAGAACACAAGAGTCGTGTTGACAGAGTTCCAGATCCGCTTTTACCACTCAGATGGAGGCTCAGTGAAGGAAAACTATGAAATAGACACGAAGGACTCTATGTCTGCTGCAGAGGTTGGTACTGGCCAGTACGTGGCAACAAAGGGCTTCTCCCAAACCGACGTGATCACCACTGTGATGCCTGAGAAAAGTCCCAAGAGGAGGACGAACGACAGGAAAATGCCGAGGAGCTCGGCTATAGTGAGCAGTGGATACCACAGCCCATGGTGACACCACTGAGTCGGATCAGGAAGAAGGTGCAGAGCTCCAGGAAAACAGGAGCTAGAGAAACTCAAGATGAAGGACCAGACCCACATCAGTGAGCTGAAAAGGACCTGTTGAGAAGCCTCCACAGACACTGCTATAGCACAGAGTGGGAGAAGCAGCTGTCCACATCCCCCTTGAGACTGGCCCTCAGGCCAGAGGATTCACCCCTGGTTGAGCTGTTGATGCCTGATGAGAAAATGGAAACCCAAGCTGACCGTGGTGAGTGGGAGGCAGATGCAGCCCAGCAGCCTCCTGTGCTCAGCACTGACAAGGTTGTGCCATAGGAGACTTGATGGTGGAGGAGAGATGGGTGACCAGTGTCCACGCCAGTGGGTAAGGCCCTTGTGCAGCTGGACATAACAGGGATGTGGCAGTGCAGGCCACAGACAAGGCTTCTAGCCTAAAGGGAATGAGGACACTGCGCCCAGGATCGAGGCTACAGAGGAGAAGAGGGAAGTGACGGTCACAGGCACCTCCGAATAGGAAACAGCGGCAGCTTCGCACCAGCAGGAAGCCAGAGTGCAACCATCCATGTCTCTGAAACTATGGAGCAAAAGCTTCATTTTAAGTTGTCGTTGTGAAGACTGAAACCATCAGTTTCCATTAGTATTTTATCGGGAGGTGTAAAGCTAGAAATTTCTACCAAGGAAGTGCCAGTAGTTCATACTGAAACAAAGACCATAACATCACAGGTGGATCTTGCTGCTGATTTGGAGCCAGGCATCTGAAGACTGCACAGTCACCTCAGAGAGACCACTACCACGGCCGCCACATGCATCACCAAAACCACAGAGGGAGGCAGAGCCGGGACAAGGTTGGAGACATGAATGGTCATCACAGGAGATGCAGACATTGACCGTGACCAGGAATAACTTAGTGTCCCATGAATCCTATCCTGCAAATCATTAGAAAAGCCATAGCCTATATGGAGTTCCCTCTTTCTAACCCAACTGACTGTGACTGTCCATGGAAAATTTCAATCCCGAAGAATTGACTGAGACCATTAATAAAGACACTGGCAGAGAGATTTTCTCATAATAAAGTAGTCTGAATTTACATCACTAAACTGAAAATGCATGAAGCAACAATACAATTACAGAAGAGCTGCCTTTTTACTATTCACAGAACATCTAAGTTTTCCACTGTAGCTGCACATCCATACCCGACAATCTAGTGATCTCACATAACAAGTAAATAACCCATACCTTTCATAGTTTATTATTACTAACGTCTAAAGAACACTGTAGATCCTTTGCTGAAAACTGATTACCCTAGGGTGCTGTTGTTGTTTTTATGTACCGTCGAGTTGCTTGCGACTCATAGCGACCCTGTGTACAACAGCCCTAAACTCCACTCTGTCCTGTGCCATTCGCACTGTCTCTGACACTCCCATCCCAATTATCCCAGTCACTGAATCAATCCACCTCATAGAGGGCCTTCCTCTCCTGCGCTGTCCCTCCACCCTCCCAAGCATGATGTCCCTCTTTAAGGACCAGTCTCTCCTCACAACATGTCCAAAGTATGTTAGACGGAGCCTCAGAATCCTTGCCTCCAAGGAGCCACCCGGTTTAACCCTCTCCAGGACAAATCTGTTCATTTTCCTAGCAGTCCACGGTATTCTCAATACTCTTCTCCAGCACCACAGCTCAAAGGCATCAATTCTCCTTCTATCCTCCTTGGTCATTGTCCAACTCTCTGATGCATAACAAGTGATTGGGAAGACCATGGCCTGTATCAGACGCACCTTAGTCTCCAGAGAGACACCACTGCTCTTCAGCACTTTGGAGAGGTCCCTAACAGCAGACTTTCCCATGGCAGTGCGCCTTTTAATTTCCTGGCTGCTGGTGCCAAGACTGTTGACTACAGAGCCAAGCAAAGTAAAGCTGTGAACAATCTCAATCTCTTCACCATCCATCCTGATGCTGCCAATTGGTCCAGTGGTGAGAATCTTTGTCTTCTTGACATTGAGCCTCAATCCATATTGTAGGCTGCAGTCCTTGACTAGAAACTGTATATATCAGGCTTGTCATTCTGATCACTCAATAGATATGCCAATAACCGAGTATATTCAGTAAACAACTTGAATCTTGTACTTGTTTCACCTGGTTTTAATATTCTTACCCATAAACAAGAGTAGCTCTGATCCTGGGAGCTCTGGTGGCCTAGTGGCAAGGAGCTGCAACTACAATCCCAGAGGCGCACGGTTCGAATCCACCAGATGCTCTGCCGGGAAAGGAGGGACAATCTCCTCCTGTACCAGTCAGATCTGATTTGACGGTACACGCACACAAAAATAAATAAAATTTAAAAAAAAAAAAAAAAGTAGCTCTGATCCTGTGGAAATATTCAATGCTTACAATCTTGCTTTGTAGATCTAATTGAATTCATTATAAAGGTAATACTGATTTCAGCATATTAATGTGACTTCTTCCTTGTCATCTGCTTTGGTCTTCATCCAATCTGGAAAGCTCCCCAATGTACCCTAACAAATCCTGCTATGTAAATTGTCATTATTTTGGGAAGTTTTCATCATTTTTTTTTTTTGGTTCGTTTACAATGTTAAGAAATTGTACTCCAGGAAAAAAAACCAAACAAACAGAAAAGCACTGGGCTTGTTTTGCATTCTCTCCTTTCTTCATTTTCTCTTTCCTTGAATTTTTAAATTACTTTTTTCTTTTACTTAAAAAAAAAGATATTTGTTTCCTAATCTGGTCCATATTTACAATCTAGTTCAGAGCCACGCCTTAAACTGTACAGAATTTCCATTGTTACTAAAGTATTAAGTGTTTAGTTATAAATGTTGTTGTTGTTAAGTGCTGTTGAGTTATAGATATTAATAATAGTTAATAATAAATAGTTATTAATTATAAATAGTCTTAAAAAAGATACATTGTCCATTACACTGTCCACTGCATCACAACCCATGGTGAATGGATGTTCTGCATTGTTGTTGTTATGTGCCGTCAAGTCACCTGCGACTCACAGTGACCCTATGTGCAACAGCCCTAAGCCCTGCTCTGTCCTATGCCAATCTCACTGTCTCTGACACACCCACCTGCATTACCCCAGTCACGGAATCAATTCACCTTATTGAGGATCTTCCTCTCCTGTGCTGTCCCTCCACCCTCCCAAGCATGACGTCCCACTCCAAGGACTTATTCCACCTTGCAGCATGTCCAAAGTATGTTACATAGTAAAATAAAAATGATAAATGCATTCAAAAAACCAAACCCCCAAAAAAACATACAATTGACATGATCTACTATATTTTTTAAAATAAATTTTTATTTTATACTGATTTGCTTACAAAGTTCATATACATTGTTTTCACACCAGATCTTTCTCATGTTCTTTACTTACCCCTCCCTCTATCCTTCACATTTGCCCTACTTTTTTAAAAAGGCTCTGTGAAGAGAATGAATAGAAAGGGCACAGGTAGGAGCTGAGATCACCATTCAAGCAAGGGACAATGGTGGCTTAACTTGGGTGGTAAAGATGAAAAATAAACATTTATTTGAGAGATATTTCGACTAATCAGAAGAAGCAGAAGTCTCATGCACTGGGTGAAAAATGAGGTATGTGCTCAGCCTTTGAGTTCAAATTAAATAGAAGAAGCTGCACTAGTGAGTACAGTTTTCATTTAGAGTGAAGAGAGATGTGAATTTTGCCTGTTACATGTGAGCAGCCTCAGACTCTCAAGTGTGTGTGTGTATACAAATAAAAGTGTGACAATGGTGTGAATTCTTGCCCAGCTGAAGCAAGAATAAGATTATGTTGAACAGTTGGCATACAGTTAGCTAATAATAGCAAGAGCATAGCAGAGCTATTCATACACCCAGTGCTCATTGAGCAGTTTTACACTCAGCGCTGTAATGAATTACTGGGGATCTGAAGAGCATTCATTAATTCTTTTCATCAAACATCCTGCAGTAACTCAAGCAGGGGTGGCAGACATTTGATCAACCATATTAAATATTAAAATATATAATGACAATTTGACTAGAATGATAGGAGTACACAGAATCCTTGATTCACATGAATGCTAATCTTTCTAGGACTCTTGACTTTTCCTTGGAAAAAAAACCAGCTCTGATAGTTGACATAGTAATTCTTTGTCATATTACTTGAGAAAAATGTGTAAGATTATTCTAAACGTTATCTATAACGTTGGAGCAGATATAATGAAGACAAAAGGAGTATAGTGCCACAGTAATTCAATTATAAGGGAGCTCTGGTGGCCTAGTGGCAAGAAGCTGTGCTGCAATCCCAAAGTCATGAGCTTTAAGGCCACCAGCTGCTCCACGGTAGAAGGATGGTCAGTCTCCTCCTATACAATTAACTGCCTCTGGAAACCAGCCAGTGGGTCAGTTATGGGTCATTTCCAACTCTATGGTACACAACAACACCACAATTCAATTTTCAGATAATAGATACATAATTAATAGGATAGTGTCTAGTGTAGAGATAGGTTCAAGACCGTGGGGCTTGGGAGTAGAAGTTGAAGAGTTAAGGAGAAAAATCTGAAGGACAAATTCTTGTTACCTAAAGTGACTTAAAATCTTGACTGATAATAGAAAGATAGATGAGGGCAGAAGTGCACAAAGTTGTTAAGTTTTATTCAGACTGACTGATTAAGAAAGTGAATTTTAGATAATCCATCTTACTGAGGGTCAGCGATGAATAGGTTCTGACTCAGTAGCAATGAGAGAGATTAGTTAGTACAAATCATTTGCCCTGCTCAGGAATCTTTGAGAGGAGAGCAGAAGTGGCTAAATAATTGATGATAACAAGGCCTACTTCGCTACTGTTAGGCCTTTAGATATCATGTTTTAGACAAATAAATACTCTTGGGAAATTCCTTTTTTCTAAAAAGAAAACTTAAATGGTAAAAGAAAAAGTTTGAAATAATAATTTCATAGGATGAGGGAATATATTTGAGTGCATATATAGATGTAGAAAAAATACTAGAGAGATACATACTAAAATACTAAAAATGGTTAGCTTTTAATTTTATGGTGATTTTACCTTTTAAATCTTTTCTCTTGTTTCTAGATTTTCTACAGTGACCTAATGCTTTGTAAAAAAATAAATAGAAAAATATGGTTTTGTTTTTAGTTTTCTTAAATAATGTTTACATTACTCATAGAACAATTGCAAATGTGTTCTAATAACAATGGCAGCATCTCTATAAGAAGTTTCTAGCTTCCCAACAGAAGCAAAAAATTAACTTTCATGTTTATGTTAAAGCTCTGGTACATTTTTAATAAACCACTCCCATAGCTTTATAGCTAACCTCTTTTATTTAACCTCACTAGTTATTTGGGTAACACACATTGTTAAAGGTGGTTACAATTTCACTTCTTAGGACTATCTTATGGCATTATCTCTACAACAAGAACAGCAGAGTCAAGAGATCAATTGGGAACAAATTCCAGAAGGCATCAGTGACTTGGAACTAGCCAAGAAACTGCAAGAGGAGGAGGACCGAAGGGCTTCTCAATATTATCAGGAACAAGAACAGGCAGCAGCAGCTGCTGCTGCTGCTTCTACTCCTACCCAGGCCCAGGTAAAACTAGCATTCAGATTCTTAAATACAGTGATGATGTGAGCAATAAAGACATTTCTGTTAAGATAAAAAAAAATTGGCTCTTCAGTTGTCAGCATTTTTTGCACCCATTGCATTATTCTAAGTTCGTGATTACCCTAGTATATTTCTCATTTGTCATTATGTGCCATTGAGTTGCCTGTGACTTATAGTGACTCTATGTCCAATAGCTCTAAACTCTGCCCTATCCTGAGCCAGTCTCATCGTCGTCCCCCACAGACCAAATCTCATTTCTCCAGTCACTGAGTAAATCCATCTCTTCCTGGGTCTTCCTCTCTTACACTGTTCCTCCACCCTTGAAAGCATAGTATCCTTCTCCAAGGACTAGTCCTCCTGGCCACATATCCAAAGTATGTGAGACAGAGCTTCAGAATCCTAGCCTTCAGGGAATGGCTTGGTTTCACCCTCTCCGGGACAGACCTTTTTGTTCTCCTGGAAGTCCACAGTGTGTTCAACACTATTCTCCAGCACCACAATCCAAAGGCATTCTTCTATTGTCCTTGAGTTATTGTTCAGCTCTCTGATGCATAGCAAGTAATTGTGAAGAACATGGCCTGGATCCGGTGCACCTTAGTCTCGAGACTGACATCTTTGGTCTTAAGTACTCTAGAGAGGTCCCTGAAAGCAAACTTTCCCAATGCAATCTGTCTTTTCATTTCCTTGCTGGTGCCAAGAGTGTTGTGGAACCAAGAAAATGGAAGATGTTAACAATCTCAATCTCCTCTATCATGACATCGCCAATTGGCCCAGTGGTGAGATTCTTTGTTTTCTTGAAGTTGAGCTTCAACCCACATTGAAGACTTTAGTCCTTGACCTTCTGCAGAAATGCCTCATCTCCTCCTCAGGTTCAGCAAGCAAGGTTGTGTCATCTTCATAATGTAGGTTGTTGATGAGTCACCAATCCTGATGTCACATTCCTCCTCATAAAGTCCAGCCTCCTAAATGATCCATTCTGCATGTAGATTGAAAAGGTATGGCGATATGATGCATCCCTCGGAAATACTTTTGCTGATCCTGGACCATGCAAGTGCTTCCCTGCTGTGTTCTAACTATTGCTTCGTAGTTCAAGTACAGGTTTCACATAAGCACAATTAAGTGTTCTGGGCTTCCCATTCTTCTCAAGGTTAGCCACAACTTGTTGTGCTCTTTTGAACAAAATACTTGTCTGTCAAATATTGCTCTAGAGTTGAGCATCCAAATTAAGACAGACTAAGGAGATAGATTGGTCATCCACTTCCAAATTAACAGGCCTCAGAAAACCCTATGTACAATATAGCCCATTCTTTATTTAGGTAAGGAAATGATTTCTTGACATTTGGATGACAAAACATAGAAAATTTATTTTTTTTTAAGCCCTTAATAGGATGGCAAGGAAAATAAACATTTGAGCAAAGTCCTTTCAGACAACTAGATGTTAGTGAAATCCAAATAGAAAGAATATGGATTTTAGAGGCAGACAGATGTTGGTTTGTGTTTCCTCCTCCTGTCTCTCATTACTAATTGCTCCTTGAGCAAAGTTCTCCACCTCTCTTTCCATTTTGTAAAATAGAAGATAATACTTAATCCTTCGGTGTTTGGTGAAGAACATACAATGTTAGCACTTAACCCAGTGCTTGACATGTGCTGTGTATTAAACAAGGTTAGAGCCTTTCCACTTTGTCCATTTAAATTATGACATTTTAAAGATTAAAATATATGCCAGTAAGTAAGTTTCATCTATATGTAAAATCTCCCTCTTTGTAGTTAACTACATCATGCTTAAAGCTGCTAGTTCTGTTTCAGGTACACAGGAAAACAGCATGCCCTTTAGGGTCTGATGAAACTTTAAATGTGGAAATTCACATTAAAAGAAGTACAAAATTTGTAGGTCAAATATTGTCTCTCAGGCTTAAATTGAAACTCCCCATGGTAAGGTTAGCTTTTCATTAGGCACTCTTGTTTCATTGAATATACTAATTTCAAACTCTTAGTTCTCAGAATTCACCTCCCTTCATTTTAGAATTTATTTGCTCTTGTGGCCTAGTGTTAAGAAACTACACTGTAATCTCAAAGGCATGTGGTTTGAATCCGCCAGTTGCTCAGTGGGAGGATGGGCAGTCAGTCTCCTCCCCTGTCATAAGTGTCTCTCAAAACCCACTGGAGGGTCAGCTGTGAGTTGATTTTTACTCAAAAGCACACCACCACAACATAGTATTGAATAAGATCTTGAAGAACTGTTAAAGTTTACCCAAAAATGTCACTTTCCTTAGCATTTTCCAAATCTTAACAGAAATGTCTTTTGGGGTTTCAGTTAATACTGTTCTGCATGTTACTTATTGTTTGAAGTTTTATTTCTTTAGAAAAATGGGTACGTTAAGTATGCATAGCTAGAATTAGGAAGGTAATTGCTCATATTTCATGTAATATAATATACTAATGACTTTGTTTTCCACTAATGATTTCTTTTGCTCTTGCAGTTTGTCGTTCTAGATAACAATGATTAAGCGCCTTAGAATAGTTGGAGCAATTTCTTCCTGTGTATTTTTCTTAAAGCAGGGCCAGCCAGCACAAGCCTCTCCATCAAGTGGAAGACAATCTGGGAATAGTGAACGTAAACGAAAGGAACCTCGGGAAAAAGATAAAGAAAAAGAAAAGGAAAAGAATAGCTGTGTCATTTTGTAACCAGTGTTGGATTCTCCTGGAAGCACCTGTCTGTCTTGAGATGCAAAGCCACAGGAAGAGAGGAAGGAGAACCGATATATATATACCGTCTGTGCCTGCTTTCCCAGTGGATTTTGTTTATGTTTCCCCAGGGAAGGTTGCTACTTAGTTACAATCAGACTTTTCCAAGTCACACAGTTAACTCTTTATAAGCTGGAATTTTATGTTACAAGTTGGAAATGCTGTGTGTTGTCACTCATGAAAAATACTGTACTTGTAGCCAAATAAGAAATCACAGCAAATTTTGTGTCATAGTGACATTCATAACTCATTATCAGTTAGTAAGCTATTTTATCTTCTGTTCTAAAGATGAATGGAGGTAATTGATTTTGTCTGATTCCTTCCTGATATCTAAATAGTAGCACAATAGTTTCTGAACTTAATTTTTTTACAATGTTAAATTATGATCTAATCAGTGAGAAACCAGGGGTTTACTATAGGAATTTAAAAAGCAAAAAATAAAAGGAATAAATACCCCTTAATTGTATATTGAACTAGTTCAGCCCTTGAACAGCTTTACCTTTCTTTAGGAATGTACATTTTAGATATTAACTTGAGTCTTGATAATGGAACATGGATTTAATTTAGATAGGAAAAAAAAACACCTTACATTTCTTTTCCAATAGCAAAAAGTTACATAACACTAATACTCCTATCTTATCAGATATTAACCACTTCTAGTGTTGAATTTTGAAATCATGTAGCCTAGATAGCTGGACCAGTTACTGTTTATTGGCAGTGTGATAAATGAGTGTAGGGAGGAAACTATAGTGGATGTAAGGCCTTGCAAATAGAGGGAATGTGGAAAACCAGATAATTCAGTATCTGCCTTTTTATAGAACTACCTTGAACCTTAAAATCATGTTTATTTGCTAGAAACTTAAATATCCTTATTAAAACCGATTTTAAAAGCACATTTCTGAAAGGAAGTTATACTGAGAAGCTGACTTTAATGGAAAGGCATTAGTAAAATTCTCTTTGAGAATAGTTAAGAATTTGAATGACTTTATGTCAGGGCAATCAGATTTTTTAACTTCTGGGAACCAAATAAATCTATAACATCCTGTAGGCTCTATAGGATTCAGAAAGAATATTTATTGTACTTTGTTATAATGACAAACACATGTTTTCCTGTATTTCTAGACATAGTTTGAAAAACAATCCTTAATAATTCTTTTGATATACTTTATATTTAAAAGTTTGCTTTAGCTTTAAAAAAAAAAAGAGTATTCTGCTGCAAGTAGTTTTGTAACTTACACTTGAAAGTGTGTTAAACTTCATCTTAATCTGACCTGAGTGTCTACTTGGAGAATGTCTTCTGTCATCTAAGGTGACAATAGACTACCAAAAATGTGGTCTAGATTTTTGAAGCTATGTCCTTAACTTTCTCCATGATTCATGACCAGTTATAAAATCAGTCTGTACATAAAAAGTCTTATTTATGGAACGAATAAGGGAGAAATCTAGGGTCAAACTATATCTATCTATCTCCTCTTTGTCCTATACTGTATGTCTTTGTTATACAATTTATTATTCTTTCATATTTCCATGTTAGCATGATAAATCATCAGAGAGCTGGCTTTGGATATAGGTCTTTGATATGCAGTATCTGGTCAATCTCTTGATAACCACCAGAATGTACATACATTGGTATAATAATCGGATGTAATACAGAATTCTCTGTTGCCTCAGATTGACCTGAATCCAGATTTACTCTTGATATCATGCTAATGGCTGAAAGAGGAAACTCAAACCTCTGGCTTTGTTTTTCCTAGAACAGATAGTAGTAACAGTGCACTGTATTTTAATAAGGAAAAAGAAAGTATAAACTCTGATAATTTTTAAAAAGAATATTTGAGGCATATTTTTCCATAGTTATATACAGATCTATTTATTACCCTTGAAAAATATATGTATAGAAGTTATTCTTTTGTTATTAGTTATTCTTAATTTGTTCCAAAGATAATACTGCCATTCTGCATTCCCTCTAGAAGGAAGAAAACAAAAACAAAAACCTCACAACCAGCAACGCTGCTATCAGATAAGTAGATTTCAATATATACTTAAAAGAAAAAGTTTAAAAAATGTATTTGTTAATTCAGTCTTTTTCTATATACAATTTCCAAGTCAGACTTTCTTACATTCCTGGAATTCAGTTTAATAACAAGGGTAATAATTTGAAAATGTTCACTTTGCTTACTACGGGGAAACAATTAAATCTATAATTCTATTAAATAAACTTTTCAGAGATACTGGTTTCCCTTTCTTGAAGGTTAAAATAATTTAGAATTACTGTACCTTTATTTTCTCATATTCTGCTGAAGATAGCAAATTATATATTCAAATATTTCATTGCTGGTTTGGGTATCTTAGAATTTTATAATAGCATATTAGAGTTTCCTTCACAGTATTTTTAATACTTCAACATTATCACATGTACATTACTAGCAGAAGTTAGAAATTAACATTTTTGTTATTAAGAATTACAAGGTAGATTAGGGGCACATTTCCATCAACCAAGTCACCATTACAACTGGCAAAAGATGTAGACAAATGCATGGATGTGGTCATCATACCTTCCTCTTACTTTAAAGCTTATTTGTTAAAGTCTTTATTAACTGTATGAAAACTCTTCATGTCTAACTTCATAACACTGACAATGCTGTGATTTAGAGTAGGTTACTTAAAAGTACTTACATCTGTATATCTGCAAGAAGTTCCATGGCTTTTGTTGGATTCTCAAAGGAATCTAGGACCATCCCTGGATGAAGAATTACCATTTTAAGAGTGCACACACACCCGTGTGTGTGTGTGTGTGTGTGTGTGTGTGGTGTGTGTGTATATACACATACCACACACACACTAGCAATTTGAAGCAACTAAATTGTTATTGACTTCTATCATTTGCCAGTCAACTGTGCTTAAGTAATTTCTTCCATGTTTTTGAAGGTGTCTAGTTAGAAATTGTTGAATGAGCCATATATTATTTAAGATAAGACTTCTATCTTGTTCTTACTTTCTCATATTTCCAGTGTTTGGCCACTTAGTCTGAATCATGTTTTGATTTCTTCTTCACACTTTTTTTTTTAATTCTTTAGTGGGTCACCCTGGCATAGAGAAATGTCCTTTCCTGCTCCAGGAACTGATGCTAAGTGAAAGATCATTTTTGTCTTCTTCACACTTATTAATCTTAGCTTATTTAAACAATATCAGAGATGAGATGACTGAACTCAACATTAACTACTATTTTCTCAGTTTACCAAAACTTCATTTATTTTGTCAATCACAAACTCAGTTAACTAAGAGACAGAAGATCTTAAAAGAGGACTTAAAGCCAAATGGATATGGAAGGACAGAATTGTGGTTTCTGAGTTAATACTGGCATGTGAAGCAGATATTTCTTGTAGAGAAAAATCAAGGCAAAAAGTTCCAGAACTATTCTCAAACTATCTCATTTTTAAAAGAAAAGCAAATTAATTGCAATATGCTTTATTTTCCTAATGTTTCATTTATTTTAAAGCATAATGGCAAACATATGAACTTTACTTATCATATAATAATTAGGCATATAATTTATAATGGAAAATCTAATGTTTAATTAGATGAAGACATTAAAAATAGGCTATATTTGTGTTGTAAGGAACTGGATATGTAGAATTCTGGATCATTTAATTTCTTAAAGCCTGACTTTCTGTTTTGCCTAGGGCAAACTTTCTGTGCCTCAGTAATTTACTCTTTAAATACATAAAGGATGCTTTTTGCTCATTCCTTTATTGTTTTACCTTTCTGAATAAAGGGTATGATATAAGCACAAAGTAAACTTAAGTAATCACAAATATTATATATCCTTTGTTCTTGAATGTGCAGATTCCCCACCCCACCCCGATGATTCATATTTCTTCAGTTTGTAGTGGTGGTGGTTAATGCTGTCAAGATTTGTAGAATTACCTTGTCTTTAAGTATGTTGTAAATCTCTTCCCAAAAATGTGTTTTACACTTGTTTTTCTGTGTTCGTAGCATCAAGATCAAGGGTACTTGGGGAGCATTAAAAATCATTTAAAGTTTATTCCTCTAGTATCTTTAACAAACCTAAATTGTGAAATCTTTGCCTTTTACTCCATGGAATAAATTACAGTGGTATCAGGTTAAAAAAAAAACAAAAACAACTGCTGCTTATTCATCAACCAAAACAAATCTAAGATCACACTGTCAAAGTATCTGCCCCTTTCCCCCCTCCCCACCCCCAGAGCCCTGACTCTTTTTTTAATCCACCAAATAGGGAGACAAATTTCAGCCCCATTTCCTTAAAATATGCTTTATACTATGATAAAAAAAGATCTTGACTACATTTTCCAAAGTCCATCTTACCTTATATGTATTCCAGAATTTCTGTTTCATATCCAAAAATATGTCATCCTCTCCTTGAAGAATACTCATACCTATTTATAAAAACACAGAAGGAAAAAGCTTTAAAAGATTCAGCAGGAAGACTTGTCTGACTGTTCATGTTTGTTTTCTATCCTGATATGCAAAGCTGCCAGCTCTAATATTCAGTATGACCTTTCTAATCCCATAGTGAAAATGTAAAATAATACACACTCTAAAATCAGCTTAATTTTTTTAAAAGCTAAAGCAGCTTTATTAAGGGGTTCCAGGGTGGGATTTCTTGGTCTGGAGAAAGAGACAGACCAGGGGAAAACCGCCTAAAATCAGCTTAATTTTAAAAAGAGTAATAACAGGAGGTGAGAATGGCTGCATATAAAAACGACAGCAGAGTAATTAATCTTTTAAAACAGTATGAGACTCCATGAAACTATGACCCTAAATCCTCTTTAAACTTTGAACTGAAACTATGTCAAGTTACAGTTCAGCAAAACCAGACTGCATGCAAAATAAAGAATAATACCTTTGACTGTGGTTCACCGTTTTTTAAAACAAAACATCCGTGTGAGACCAAAAAGTCAACAATTTCTTTAAAGTAAAGATTGAAAAACAGGGACAGGGAAACTAGAGTACTGGAAACGGAACAAATAGAAACAAATAAAGAGATACTGATGTTACCAGATCATTTCATGCAGAAACTGCCAAATGGGGACCTAATTTGTTATATAAACTTTCACTGATGTTGTTGTTATGTGCCATTGAGTAGCTTGCGACTCATAGTGACCCTATGTACAAGAGCCCTAAACCCTGCTCTATCCTGTGCCAACCTCACTGTCTCTGACACAACCACTCCCATTACCCCAGTCACTGAATCTATCAATCTCATTGAGGGTTTTCCTCTCCTGTGCCGTCCCTCTACCTTCCCAAACATGATGTCCCTCTCCAAAGACTGGTCTCTCTTTACAACATGCCCAATGAAGCTTCAGAATCCTTGACTCCAAGGAGCAGCCCAGACTCACCCTCTCCAGGACAATCCTGTTTGTTCTCCTAGCAATTCATGGTACACTCAATACTCTTTTCCAGCACCACAGCTCAAAGGCATCAATTCTCTTTCTATCATCCCTAGTCACTGTCCAACTCTCTGACGCATAGCATGCAATTGCAAAGACTATATATCCTGGATCAGGTGCACCTTGGTCTCCAGCCTGGCGTCATTGCTCTTCAGTACTCTGGAGAGGTCCCTGACAGCTGACTTTCCCAATGCAATTAGTCTCTTGATTTTCTGGCTGCTGTTACAAAGTGTTCACTGTGGGGCCAAGCAAACTAAAACTGTTAACTATCTCAATGTCTTAACCATCCATCATGATGCTGCCAATTGGCCCAGTGGTGAGAAACTTTCACTGAGAATACAATAAATTACTGCAAATGGAGTAAAGGTGGAAGGGTGATAGGACGGGTGAATTCGACCTCTACTAGCTCCACAAAACTGTCCCCATTAACAACAACTCACAATCCTATAAGGTCAGACATGGTCCCCCATGCTCCCACGACTCTTCTTCTAACCACTGGGTTTAACATTCATTGCAAATGACCACACGAGACATTATAGACTCTCTTCTTATTTACAGTTGTGGGATTTATTAGGGAAACAGGTTAGGGGAAGCGGGAAGACAACGGATATCCACACAGTGAAAGTAGAGATTCAGTAAACTGCCACCTCAAGCCAATTAGCAGCCAGAACAATCCCTCAATTAGATCAGACAGCTTCTCAGTCAACAGCAAAAATGCTGTTAGGTGCTGCGGAGTTGAGTAAGATTCACAGCAACCCTATGAACACACAACAGATCTGAACCCTGTCCTATCCTGTGCCATTCTCAATCTCTGACACACTTGAGCCTGTTGCTACAGTTACTGTGTCGATCCACCTGGCTGAGGGTTTTCCTCTCTTTCGCCAATGCTCCACCTTCCCAAGTATGATGTCTCTCCCTAAAGAAAAGTCTCTCCTAGAAGCATGCTCAAAGAATGTGAGATGAAGCTTTATCATCTTTGCCTGCAAGGAGCACTCTGGCTGCACATTCTTTAAGACCTGTTTGTTTTTTTGGCAGTCCATGGGGTATTCAGTATTCTTCTCTAAAGGACAGCTCAAAGGCACCAATTCTTTTTTCTGTCATCCTTATTCAATAGCAAGTTACAGTCCCTCTGTCCATCCAGGCAGCTTCTCAGTCATTAATAGCAAGAAACTTGCACAAGACCCTCTGGTATCGAAAGGAAGCATGCTGCTTTCTCTGTTGCTCCTTCTTTGATGGTGTTGAGGTTCCCAATTCTGAAGCTAAACCTGCTCAATTTAGTGGCGAGACTAACCAGTCCCCTTGGGGACAGGCTAACACACCCTCTGAGGAAGAAATGGTTCACGCAACTGTTGATGATGTAGGCGGGGTGCCTGTCCACAGGGCAGCTGGATTAGATCAAGAGCTTGTCCCAGAGAATAAAACAACAATGGTCTAGAGAAGACACAACTGTCACTGAAAAATGCTAAGAGAATTAACAAAATTTAAATGTTAAAGAGTGGCACCCTTGGCAAGCTTTGTCTTCTCTATTTTCAACACTAAATTTTTTTACAGTACAAAATGGTCATTATCTTATTTTTAAAAGGTTAGAAGGTTTACAAACAGAATCAGTTCTTGGGTAGGGCAAGAGGGCAGGCAGAGGAGGGAGGGAGAGGGAGCAAAAATTAATAAATAGAGAATAAATAATGAATAGATAAGTAGAAGGAAGGAAAAGGCAATAAGCAATAACAGCTTGATTAACTTTCTATTTATATTAGTGTAATTACAATCAATTAATGAAACAAAATATCCATGAATGATTGAATGAAAATGAAATTTTTAACAAGATGAATGCGCCTTGAGTATTCTAGCAATATTCCCATCCTAAGAGATCCTAATAAATGGGAATATTCCAACTATTCTAGTTGGAGGAGCCCTGGTGATGGTATTACTAAGGACTCAGCTTTTGTCACAATGGCAGTGGTTCACACTCACCAGTCATGTCAAAAAAGTAAGTTGTGGCAGCGTGCTTCTGGAAAGATTATAGCCTCGGGAAGGTGATGGGCAATTCTGCTCAGTCCTACACAATTCTGACTTGCCGTGAGTTCAAACTGACTGTGGCAAAGGATAACTTTTTAGCATTCAAAAAATAAATCACCAGCAGAGCTCTGGTGGCCTAGTGGCAAGAAGCTGCACTGCAATCCCAGAAGTATGCAGTTCGAATCCACCAGATGCTCTGCTAGAGAAGGAGGGGCACTCCTCCTGTATCAGTCAGATTCAATTTGACAGTACACACTCACACACACACACACACACATACACACATACTCACACACACAAAAATAGAGCACCAAGGGAGCTCTGCTGGCTAGTGGCAAGAAGCTGCACTGCAATCCCAGAGGTGCATGGTCTGAAGCCACCAGATGCTCTGCTGGAGAAGGAGGGAAATCTCCTCCTGTACCAGTCAGATCTGATTTGATGGTATATACACACAAAATAATAATTTTTTTTTAAAAAAAACAGAGCACCAATTTAGTCTTTCTAAAAATACTGGGAGCTTTGGTGGCTTAGTGGTAAGGAATTGCACTGCCAGTGCAAAAGTAAGCAGTTCAAATCCACCAGCTGCTCTGAAAGAGAAAGATGGGCAATCTCCTCCCATGTGAATTTACTGCCTCTGAAAATCCTCTGGAGGGTCAGCTATGGGTTAGGTTCCAGGAAACAGCAACAAAAGCACTAGAAACTCTGGTCATCAGCATCTCTGGAAGAAAATTCAATAAGAATAAAATCCTATTTTAGAAAGAGTGTGAAAATGAGCACTGTCCATTAGGTTGTTATAACATGCTGTTGAGCGGGCTTCGACTCATGGCGGGTGACCCAGGTACAAGAGAATGCAACACTGCCCAGCCCCGTGACACCCTCATATCATTGCTTACCACTTAACCCTTACCACTCCTTCTCACCAAGGATCCTTCTCTTCTTCACTCACTCTACCAAGAACCATGTCCTTCTCTAGGCACTGATCCCTCCTGATAACACATTCAGAGAAAGACAGTCTTGCTAGTCTGACTTCGAAGGAGTGTACTTCTTCCAACACAGATGTATTCATCATTTTGGCAGTCTGTGGTGGTTGTTGTTATGGGCCATCGAGTCACCTGCGAATCATAGTGACCCGATGTATAGCAGCTATGAAGCCTCCCTGTCCTAAGCCAGTCTCACTGATTCCGACACACCTACCCCCATTGCTCCAGTTACTGTATCAATCCATCTCATCCAGTGTCTTCCTCACCTGTGCTGTCCCTCCACCCTTCCAAGCATGATGTCTTTCTCCAAGGATCGGTCCCTCCTGGCCACCTGCCCTAAGTATGTGAGACAGGGTTTCAAAATCCTAGCCTCCAAGGAGGAATTTGGTTTCACTCTCTCAAAGACAGGTCTGTTTGTTTTCTTGGCAGTCCATGGTATGCTCAAGACTCCTCTCCAGCAACACAACTCAAAGGCATCAATTCTCCTTCTATTATTCTTAGTCATTATCCATTTCTCTGATATACAGCAAGCGACTGACTGGATCAGGTGCACCTTAGTCTCTACACTGACATCATTGCTTCTCAGCACCCTGGAGAGGTCCCTGACAGCAGATTTACCTAATGTAATCCGTCTTTTGATTTCCTGGCTGCTGCTGCCAAGAGTGTTGACTGTGGAGCCGAGCAAGCCATAACTGTTAACAACCTCAATCTCTTCTCCATCCATCATGGTGTTGCTAACTGGCCCAGTGAAGGTTCTTTAATATTCTTCTCCAATGTCATAATGCAAGTACATCAATTCTTCTTCAGTCCTCATTCACTGTACTGCTTTCAGATGCATATGGGACAATGAAAAAATACAATGGCTTGTGTCAGGTACACATAAGTTTTCAGAGGAATTCTCTTCAATTAGATGGAAGAAGAAACAGGAATTTTATCCATTTGAGAGAATTCTTAGGACCCAACTAATAAGAAAAATACAGTCATATAATG